AGCTACTCCAGTACTCGATCTATAAAACACTCTCTGCCCCTACGGATAAACCCGAACGACGGTAGGTCGCCCTCAGCTGACAAATCTTAGGGAACTAACAAAACGTTTTGAATGGGTCGGCGCCCCTAAGAGACGTGAACATTATTCACGTCCTTTTCGCTATACTTTGCGAATGGACAAAATGCGGTCTCTGGAGATTTTTTTAGCCACTTTTGATTGCGGCAGCTTCGCGGCGGCAGCAAGAGCTTGCAACACGGACCCATCCACGGTCAGCAAGGCAATCGGCCGTTTGGAAACTCAGCTCGGGTTGACCCTCTTTCAACGTTCCACTCGACAGTTAAGACCAACCACCGCGGGAAAACGTTATGCCCGCACAGTACGCAATACGATTCAAGACCTCGCCGTTTGCGAAGCCGAGTTAAAACACTTGAACGATGCTCCCAGCGGTACGCTGCGTATCAGTTCAGGGGTCTGCTACGGTCACCTCTATCTTCGCGCCTTGCTACCCGCATTCTGCCGACGGTACCCTGCAATCAAGCTGGAACTCGAGCTCAATGATTTACACTTGGATATTATTGAGAACGACATCGATGTTGCGTTACGTACAGGCCATGTGAAAGACAGCCGCCTAGTGGCTCGACGCCTCAGCCCAATGGATTTTCTCACCTGCGTATCGTCGCAATACTTAGAGACACAGGGTATGCCTCGTTGCCGCGAAGACTTCCGACAACATCAGTGGATTGGCTTCCGCATCAAAGAAACGCAACAGCTTCAGCCCATTTTTCTGCCAAATGATAAAGGTGAATATCTCCCGTATGAATTAGAGCGAAGTCATATCACCGATGATGGGGAAACGATGGCGTATATGTGCGCTGATGGCTTGGGCTTTGCTCAACTACCCCACTTTCTGGCGAAAAAGGGTCTGGATAGTGGCGCCCTAGTTTCCCTCTACCCTTGTCTAAGGCTCTCGCAGCCTGATAGTGGTGTGTTCGCGATTTATCCCAAGCGTGAATATTTACCCGCCAAGGTCAGGGTGTTTGTTGAGTTTCTGACCGCGTCACTGGCCGACATGGGGGAAAGCCCGAATCGCACCTGGGCTGAGGACTGGGTTTCGGCTATCCATTTTTCTTGATAGAAGTGGGCTGAATCTATATCAACGAAAGGCAGCAATGGCCAAAAACGGACGATCGCATCCTACCTCCAGAGTTTTCCTGAACGCTTACGCATTCTACGATATTGGGGTAGCCGATCTAGGCTTGTCTACGGGCCAACCCAAAGACGAAAATTACTACGATCAGACCGCCGAGGAGAATTGGCAGCGACGCGCTTCGGAGTGCCCTTTCAGTCGATAGAAAGTCTGGATAGCCGGTCTGCCACAAAACCCATTCCGACCCTATATTCGAAGCCAGTGTCGGATGACCGGACACCAGCAGAACGATGCCATCTAACGTATCCGGGTTGAGTCGTACGGTGGAATTGATCGCTGGGTCGTTGGCGCCATCGTGTCCAAATACATAGTCTCCACCCGGTGTCGGTGCGTAAAGAATTGTTCCGAGCCCCCAAATACCGGCTCCCATAACAAAGCCATGCGGCTTGCGCATCGCTTCGAAGCTCGCATTAGAAAGTACACCGCCATCGCCAGACAATATCTTCACGGCGAGTTTTGATAAGTCAGAGGCAGAGCTGGAAAATCCCGTAGCTGCCGGGGATGCATATTGAAAGGCCGGCGCCCGCGAACCATCCAGATTGTAGGAGGCGGAGGCGTTCTCCAAATGGGCGAGAAAATCGTAGGAAGATCGCCGCATCTGAGCCGGGTTAAGAATCGAGGCTTCAACGTAATCCCGGAAAGTTAACCCACTGACTTCTTCAACCAGCAACTGCAGTATCAAATATCCGCCGCCCGAGTACATAAACTCAGTGCCTGGTTCAATACCGACAACAATTTCCACATCAACAGCGTTCGAAGCCCTGGGGTTAGACAATTCTTCCTCGACAGCAGGAAGTACCTCGTTCGCTTCATAGTCGCCGAAACCCAGTCCATCAGTCAGGCCGGCTGTGTGACTCAGTAACCTTCGAGGAGTAACCTCATCATTGTTGAATCCTACGTCTGGCAATACCCAACGAGTCAGATAAGTTGATACGGGAGCGTCGAGATCGACAGCATTTCTCTCAACTAAAGACATGACACTCATCGCAGTCACCCACTTGCTGAAAGACGCTGTTGAAAATAATGTGTTTTCATCAACAATATCCTGCGATCCAACGAAGAACTGTTGGGTAACCGCTCCGTCTTCGAGGAGGACAAGCGCCGCATTCCCTTTGCTCTTTAGATTGATTTCACCGACAGCCCATTCGTAGAAATCGTCAGCATTACCTTTCTCTACAACCGCACTCATCCAAACGCCGTTTATTGCGAGGTACAAAGCCAAAGCAGACCATGCTGCAATACCCGACAATCCAACAACAAACCATTTCACGAACTTCAAGTTATTCTCCCGGACAGCATCTTATTAAGTTTGGTTCATTAAATTTTCAGTTAGAGACAAAGAACCAGCGTCGCGAACGAAGCAATAGTGCGCACGGTGTTCCAGCGCGTCCATCGTTGGAGATAGTGCTTCCAGGTTCGTTCCGCCTCCTCCTCGTCGCCGCTGACCCGGGCAAGGGTATTGTTAAGTGGTACGTTGGCGGCGGCCGTGACGACAAACATACCGAGCCCATAGGTGAGCCCAGCGGCAATCGCTAGGCCAGCACCTGGCTCCCCCCAATGCCACAGACCAACCAGCAGCATCAGCAACGCAACGATACTTGAGCCAAAAAACAGAGGCATGAAGGGCGATTTCAATATCATTGTATTGATTGCATTCATGGCGGCAATTGCAGCGGCTGTGTTTAGGCGTGCGAACGAGCGCATGATAAATCCTGAAAACGCCAGATAGGTGCCGGTCATCAACCCGCTGCAAATGGCCATGATCCAGGCTAACGATGCGAAAATTGTATTGTCCATCAGGCGACTCTCCCCGTGCTTTCACGTATCCAATGGCCCGCGCGAGCGGCCTTTCGCGCATATTGAGCAAAGTCCGTTGCCGGACGGCCAAGTGCTTCCGACACGCCATCAGCAACGTAAGCATTACGACCATCAAAGAGGACGGCGAACAACTCGCTAAGGAGCTCCGTTAGATACTCGGGTACAGCTTGATCCTTGAGCGCCTGAATATAAACATCCAGCGGCACTTCCGTCAGATGCACGGGAAAACCTGCGGCTGCAACAATCTCGTCCACACATTCCGCAAATGTCATAGTACGGGGACCGGTCACCTCGAACAGACGGTTGCGCAAGCCCGGTTCCATGAATGCAGCAACAGCAACGTCTGCGATGTCATCAATGTCGACAAAAGGCTCGCGAGAAGTGCCCGAAGGCAGCAACAGCTCACCGGCAAGAACGCCGTCGAGCAGGAAATTCTCACTGAAATTCTGAGCAAACCAACTGGCTTGCAAGACATTCCAGTCCAGGTCGCTGTCTTTAAGTACCTGCTCGGCCCGTGCAGCGCCTTCTTCGCCCCGCCCCGACAGCAACACCACATGCTCGACACCGGCTTTACTGGCCATCTCGCAGAACGTGCGAATGTGACCCTCCGCCTCCGGTACGGAAAGGTCTGGGTGGTAAGTAAGGTAAGCACCTGTGACACCCTCCAGCACGGACGGCCAGGATTTGGTGTCGGTCCAGTCGAAGGTGGGGGTTGTGGAACGGGAAACGCCGATAGTCGGAATACCCGCGTCTTGGAGGCGGGAATCAACCCGGGAACCGGTCTTGCCATTTGCGCCAACGATCAGAATTTTGGTATCAGACATTTTTGCTGTGCCTTTTGTTAGGGAGAATGGGGGTCAACAGGCATCACTTTGCCCTGTGCGGGCTGGACACTGAATTCCCCGAAAGCCATAATTTTTGATCATTCGTCCAGAGCTTGCTGCCGTGACCGAATTGAAGATTGCGACGCCAAATATTGAAAGCCAACTGCCGCCGTCCAACGATCCACTCGCCGATCCTCTGAGGCTTTTGAAACTTACCGGTGTGTTGCACTGTCGAGCAGAGTTCACCGCGCCTTGGGGCCTCGATCTGCCACGAATTCCAAACTGCATGGCAATCCACATTGTCAATAGCGGCACCCTATTTCTCGATATCGCCGGTCAACCAACACGTGAAGTAAGGGCTGGGAGCCTGGTGATGGTTCCGCACGGTACTAAGCACCAACTGCGCAGTGCGCCTAACACCCCGGTCACACCTCTCACCGACGTCCCAGTGCAAATGATCACAGACCGATACGAGCGCATGAACTTCGGAGGCGGCGGTGCTGCCACCAGCGTTAGCTATTGCGGCGTGCGCTATGACCCTCTTGGCGCCCGCCGGTTGATACAGATACTTCCGCTTGTCGTCCAGGTTGATACGCTTGAGCAAAATGAAGAGTGGCTGCGAGATACCGCACGATTCATCTCACGAGAAGCAGATGCTGCGCGCCCTGGCAGCGAGGCCATCATCACTCGTCTCGCCGACATCGTTGTCGTACAGGCAATTCGTGCCTGGCTGTCATCTGCTAACGCCCAGCACGGATGGCTAGCCGCCCTGAAAGATCGACAGATTGGCCTCGCGCTATCGGCAATACACCGCGACCCTTCGCGCGAATGGACAGTCTCAATTCTGGCGAGCGAGATAGGTATGTCTCGATCAGCTCTGTCTGCACGGTTCAGTGAACTCGTTGGCGATTCTGTAAAGCGATACATCACTGAGTGGCGCATGCAACTCGCGCGCGACGAATTACTGACGTCATCAGTAACCCTCTCGGTACTCGCCGAGAAATTCGGGTACCAGTCAGAGGCGGCATTCAGCCGCTCATTCAAAAGGATTTTCGGTGCGCCGCCGAGCAGTGTTCGCAAGACACTCCATGTCGGACCTGCAACATCTGATTTGTGAGAATTCTGACAGTTGCGTTCGAGCACTGGTTCTTTCATACGGCCTCTACCAGATACGACAATGTGGCCCGCAACTGCTTCACCAGTCCACTATCGTTAAGGCACCCGCTTGTGGTGTCGAAACTATCGAAAAAACTGGGTACTGACATCGATGCTTTCAGGTCCGCGCCAAAAAAGGGAGCTGACGTCGCAGCCGCTGCCAGCACATTTGCCGCCCCGCCGGGGCCGGGCGATGTCGACAGCATTACCGTAGGTTTGTTTTGGTAGACCTTCACGTCGATGCGCGAAGTCCAGTCATAGAGGTTCTTATACGCTGCAGTATAGGAGCCGTTATGTTCAGCAAAGCTGATCAAAAGGGCATCGGCTGCACCAATGTCCTGGTAGAAGCGGTGGGCCTCGTCGGGAATGCCATGCGCAGCTTCGCGATCACTACTGTAAAGCGGCATCTCATAATCGTTGATATCCAAAGCTACGATATCGGCATCCTTAACAAGCGTGCAGGCATAGTTCAGCAATAGCCGGTTGATGGATTGTGTTGAATTGGTTGCTGCAATGGTCAAGATCTTCAAAGGTTAATTCCTATACTGTTGTTGATTGAGCTAAGCCGGTTGGTGAAATTCGAGCACGTTGTTGTCTGGATCACGAACGAAGAAGAACTCCGCACCACTGGGCAAACTCACAGCTTCGGTGATCACAATGCCCGCGGCACGTATTACGAACTCGACCGCTTCCAGATCATCTACTTCCAATGCGATATGGGTAAATCCTGTGTGTTTGGCCGCAACGTCCATCAGGAGATTGACGGGCGGGACATCCTCACTCGCATTTAGAATAAAGTTGATATTGACGCCGCTTGGATGCTCCATCACAGCCACTGGCTCCGGGCCAATGGGACCGACGATAAACTCGAAGCCAAGCTTTTCGTAGAACTGGCGGGTCACCTCCAGGCTGCGCACGCGCAAGCCAACGTGATTGATTTTGAGTATCTGCTGCATTGCGGTTTTCTCGGAACTCATTAAAAAGGTGCCGAAATCTTATCAATAGGACATAAGGTCAAAAATTAGCTTTTTCTGGACTTATCGTCCCATTTTTGGGACATTTGCACGCTTATGCTGGATTTAAACGACCACCACTATTTTGTGCACGCCATTGATCACGGTGGTTTTACCGCCGCCAGCCGCGTGCTGGGTCTGCCCAAGTCAACCATCAGTCGGCGTGTGATCGAGTTGGAGTCAAGGCTTGGAGTGCGATTGATTGAAAGGACATCGCGCAGCTTTGTCATGACCGATGTTGGACGCGCCTTCTATCGCCACGCAAAAGCCATGCTGATCGAAGCAGAAGCTGCAGAAGAAGTGGTTACGAACCTTTTGGCGGAACCCAGCGGCACCGTACGAATTACCTGTTCATTTGGCATGGCTCGTTTTGTTAGTGGGTTGCTTAGCGACTTTATGACAGCTTACCCTGAAGTTGACCTCGTTCAATACACGACGAACAGGAACGTGGACCTGATAGAAGAGGGATTTGACATTGGCTTACGCGGCCATAGTGCGCCGTTACCGGACTCGTCTTTGGTGCAGCGCCGGCTTGCCGTAACACCCTGGCACGTTTTTGCCGCGCCCACGTACCTGGCCGCTCAAGGCACACCGTCTGAGCCTGCAGATGTTGCTCAGTTTGCAACGCTTGCGTTAGGGACCGGGACCGAAAATACGTCGTGGCAATTTATGCGCGACGATCAAACTGTGGTTGTACCTGTTAGACCCAGGCTCCGAAGTAGTGATATGGAATCTTTGAAAGGCGCAGCAATCGCCGGACATGGGATCGTTTCGTTGCCCGCCTATGTCGCTCAAGATGCGGTTACGGCAGGTGCGCTGGCACCTGTACTAGTTGACTGGGTCACTCAGCGTGCCCGCATATCACTGTTAATACCCCGACGGCGAAGCCAGCTGCCTTCGGTACGCGCGTTGATCGACTTTCTTGTCGCCGAGTACCCTAAGCTGTTCTTAGGCGGCTAGAAATGGGAGTCGAATTTTAGCCCCTAGTTTTGATGTGCAAAATGGCTCAAAAGTGTCTGCTTTCGGCCAGAAGCTGACATGCGTCACACTTCTGGAATCCCGGTCTCAATTGTGTTTAGTTGTGATTTAACCTTCCGCAACTCTCTACACGGAACTACGCATGGGATTCGATCACTCACGGAAGTTCATGGACAAAAACGCGATGCGCGTGTATCGCGCGGTAGACGGGGAAATCTCTAAGCGTTTTGGCGAAACAGTTCGGGCTGTCGAGGTAACCAACCGCGAGTATCAACATCGATACGATAGACTATCGAATAGTAGGTCGATGAGGCCCCCTCCACATAGCGGTCGCATCTTCCCTGGGTATCTCGTGGTCCGGAAGCTTGAAACCCCTCACGAATACGAAACTTGGATACCCGACAACGGATTCGATGAGAGTTACGAGCCAATCGACTAGACGCTTCTCGCCGGTTGATTACGGCTGCTTTAACGCACAAGCGTACAAACGCATGCGCAGTGCATCAGGCAGAAACTCTAAAAAACGCGGCCCTGGCGTGAGATCGGGTCCTACTCAACTTAAGTCGCTCGACACTTATAAATCTCGTTGGCCTTTATTTTTTCGCCATTTGAACCGGTAAAATCGTAAAATAGGCCAGTACCATCGGGCTTCAAGACAAACGCGAAGTTGACGCCATTCGGACCCCAATCCCACCGCCTGTTGACTCCCCGCCTTTCGTAGTCCGTGGTCTCGCCACTATCAGTACCGTCATAAAGAACGAAACCAAATCCATCCAGTACACCGCTGCTGAACACCCCAACCTCTACTAAAATCGGGCCTTCACGCGAATAGTCATAGCAGCGCCAAGAAGCAAACTTGCCGAACTCCTCTTCGCTGAAACTTTGATCGTCCAGCAGCAAAGTTCGCAAGCTTTGAGTTGTTGCCGAAGGAGGCGGGCCTAGAGGTGTTGCCGAAGGAGGCGAGCCTTGAGGTGTTTCCGAAGGAGCGGTAGTGCATGCTGCGCAAAAAATGCACATCATTGCGGGTAGAAGTAGTGTTCTCGATATTTGCATAGATATTAGTTGCCGTAATGCGTTGCCCATAGTTTAGACGCTTTGTATGAAACCGTTAATGGCTGCGAACCGGACAAAGTCGCTATCGACCTGCGGCGATGAACTTCAATATTGGAAATCACGGAGCGACTGAGTTGGGCACAAAGCAGACGTTTTCACTTAGCCATTTCTACTTCCGCTTTCGGCTAGAAGCGGCCGCTGCTCAGAGGCTACTTCTGGCCCAAATTTGTTACTGAATTATCACTCATTGCTCGCGCCGCCAAACCGTTTCGCCGTTCTTGATGGTTTCGAGAACCACCACTTGATTTAGACGAGCCGCTTCAATGGCCAGCGGGTTTTCCGACAATATGACCAAGTCTGCAAGTTTGCCAACCTCAATTGAGCCTTTTTGATCCTCTTCGAAGTGCTGTTGCGCGCCCCAAAGCGTCACAGCTTGCATTGCTTCAAGTGGTGTCAGGCGTTCATCAGGCCCAATCACTTTGTCAGTTCTTGAGGTTCGATTAACAGTCGCCCATACCACTTGCATCAAGTTGGGTAGTGCAACTGGTGCGTCGGTATGACTAGTCAAAGGAAGTCCCAAGTCTAGGGCTGTACGAGTCGGTGAGATACCTTGGGCGAGCTCTTCGCCGATAATCTGCCCGTGCCAATCACCCCAGTAGAATGTATGCAAAGGGAAAAGCGAAACTGACATTTCAAGTTCAACCATGCGTTCAAGCTGATCATCTCGAACATACTGGCCATGAATAAGCGTGCTGCGCCGGTCACCCGCCCCGTGCTTCTCCTGAGCAGCGCCGACAGCCCGCAACATCTGATCGATGGCTGCGTCCGCATTCGCATGCATGATCACTTGCCAATCGTTCGCGTAAGCCTTGTCTACCAACTCCTCGACAATCGTATCGTCCGGAATTGCTGGGTAACCAGCATAGTCAGCATCCTGCCCATCTGGCGATATCAAGTAGGGTTCGGTGCGCCAAGCGGTTCGACCTTGCGGCGAACCGTCCAATGTGATCTTCAAACCACCTACCCGGTAGCCGCCACGATACTTCCTTGTGTGCCAATCACTCTCAAGCGGAGAGACATCGCTATAGTCGATGTAAGAGACGACATCAATTGGAAACCCAACGTTTGTGGCGTAATCCGCAAGCGCGTCGTGTGAAGTCTTAAATGCTCTTCCCTCTTGTGCCGTCGTATAACCGAAAGACATTGCAAGCTCCAATCCCTTCTGCATGAAGTAGAGCTGGTCTTCTGCCGTTTTTGGTGTGAGGTTCGCCATCATCACGGGGATGGCCGCAAGTTCCTCCAGAACGCCATTCGGCTCATTACTGCCTGGCCGACGGCGTATAATTCCGCCAACAATATCGGTTGTGTCCGCATCGTAGCCGATCACCTCGAGTGCCTTACTGTTGACTGCGGCGAAATGCCCGGAGATGTGGGTAGCAATTACCGGTACGTCAGTAGAAACCCTATCCAGGTCGTCACGTGTGGGGTGTCGCCCTTCAGCAAGAATGGAATCGTCATACCCGGTTCCGAAAATCCAACCAGTTCGCTGGACATCGTCGCTGCGCGCAAACAACGTCAATTTCTCGACTAGCTGATCAATGGTTTCGACTTCACCGTCCGGCGCCGCTAACAGATTGGCACCAATGGCCTGCGGACCGAATTGTGCAAGATGAGCATGACCGTCGATGAAGCCGGGTGACAGAGTCCGCCCTTCGAGATCAATCATGACAGTCGAGTGACCGCGATGGACATCTACTAACTCTAGATCACCGACTGCAAGTATACGGCCGTCGGCAATCGCTACAGCTTCAGCTGTCAATTGCCTATCGTCCATTGTGATAATAGGCCCGTTCGAGAAGATTGCGTCAGCAATAGTTAATTTTTCCGGTGTCGGTGTTTTCGGTGAGTCGCAGCCGCCGATCAGAAAAACGGCGATCAGCATCAAGAATGGTTGCACTTTCATCGGTTACTCCCTTTGCTTATGCGACAAAAAATTAGATCGGATTCCGGCATTGAGTTGAAACTGCGTTGACCGCAACCGTTCAAAAAAAAATCGGCAAAATCCGACGCAAGTGATACTCATTTTACTGCCTTCCGCTTTGAGCACAAAGCCGCCGTCCAAAAGTCTATCTTGAGTGGCAGCTTTCGGCCAACTTCGGTCATTCACAGAGCCATGCCAAATCAAATACAAGCGAGAAACCCTTTTCCGGTTGAGCCGCTTCTTCAGTGGAAAATTGTGCGGCGCACTATGGCTGAAGAATTGACCATCTATCCACACGCGTCTCGGCTAAGCCATAGCCTTATTTATCAATCCGTAGGCCACTCTGGATGGTGGAGATCGATAACGTAGGCATGTCTATGCTTCATCGCAGTATGCGAATGCGAATGCCGATGTGGTTCCTGACCTTCCCATCCTTCATGGGTGTGCTGATGGTGCTCGTCGTGAAAGTGGTGATGGTCGTGACGCGCTGGCCCGTGCATATGGTCTAACTCAACTTCATCGTTCGTCGGCCAGAGTATCATCGCAGCAATAGTTGATGCTATCGACACCGATCCAAGTATCAAAAAGGCCACTGTAAGGCTAAAGGTTCCGCCAACCCAGCCAGTGAGTGGGTAAGCAATCAGCCAACAGCCATGCGACAGTGCAAATTGCGCAGCGTAGATCGCTGGTCGGTTGCCTTCACTGGCTGATCGTTTGAGAAGCCTGCCAGCGGGCGTTTGAATCAGCGATGTACCGGCACCCAGTACGATCCAGATCATCAACAGGGCGAATAATCCGGGCTCAAATAACCCAAGCAAGAGGCCAATGGTTAAAACCATGCTGCCCATAAGCATGAAAGGACGATCGGGAAAACGATCAAGAAAGCGGGGCAAGGCCAGTGCTACGATCATGGAACCTGCACCGAAGGCAG